CCCTTGCGTTGTCAACCACGACAAAACTCCCTTGCCTTTCGCTTCCTCCAAGCGGATCAACGCCCTCTTCTTTGGCGTTTCCTCGCCTACTACTTTCTGCAAGTCTGTCTCCACCATGTGACGCGCTGCTGCATAAAGAGGTTTCAAAAGGAGAGCTTGGGCCCTAAAGACTTGGTAGTGTTGACCAATTCATTTCGGCTGTAGGTGGACGGTGGTTGATGTTCTACATCAGGTTTTCCATCTTGACTGGGTTTTCCCGCCTTCCCTGCTTCCAACAGGTAAACTCCTTTGAGGTCGGGGGTTAACTCATCACTTGTGGCAAGTTTAGCCCATGACTGCCCAACAGCTTTTTCAAGCTTGTCTTTGGTGATGATCTCCTCCAGCTTCTTCAGCGAGTCAATCAGAGCCAGTCCTGTCAGTAGCTGGGCAAGCCGGGGTAGACATTGCTCAACTGTGTATCCTGTCGATGCTTGCACTGACTTGGAGAACACCAGCGCTTGCCCTGCCACAAAAAAAGCCGATTCTCGAATGAGAACATTGCTCGTGATTCCTAGTCCTCCTACCCATGCTGTCCCTCTGGAGAATCTACCTCCTCGCTCTTCGTCGGGTCTGCGCGTACTCCTTCGACTGTTGGTATTCTCATGCTGTCGGCCGTCTTGCCAATGACGATTTTACTAATTGCCCACATCACCATGTTGTCATGTATTTTTGCGGCAGAGTTGGTGATAGACGGTGCAATCGTCCTCAGCAGATGGAACAAACGTGGCACACCAGATAAACGCAGCAGCAGTTGATAGCTGGCTTGAGGGTCGACAAGCGTTGCTAGGCGGAGTATCAATTCCGCCGGGTCACCACGGGCGATTTTGGAAACGAAATTCCTCTGGAACTCTTCTGTCCCTACTGGGATCCCGACAACTGGCATGCCACCTTCAGCAACTGACAGACCAATTTTCGTCAATTGTTGCTGTTCGTCGTGTGTCAAAGAGGACATGCAAAGACCTTCCGGGAAAAGCACTTTGGATTTCGGGAGACTGAGCTCAATTCCTCTTTGGGAGAGACGTTCCTGAATCCAATTCGTTACAGTGGATATGGCCTGCATGTTCCTAGCGAAACCTGGTGGAAGATGTGCTTGGAGGTCGTCGACGTATCCGATGAGTTTGACTCCTGGCACTGGTGGCTTGTTGTTGAACTCTTTCATGATGTCAAGGAGTCCTACACAGAAGTGTGTGTGTTTTCGTCCCCTATTGATGATGGCAAGAGTCCCCCCATTTTTCGTGGTGAGACGTGTACTACACTTTTCAGCGTATGTAGAGCACTACAGTTTTCAGTGTAGTTTTTCGTGCAACCACAACCATCCAGGGTCACACAGGAGGGTGTAAACACCAGGGCTTTTTTCTTCTTTTTATTTCTTTGCATGCCCCACCTTCCTACTGCGGTGCGTGCTGACTTTTTTTTTTATCGCGAGAAGAGTCCAGCCGTCCCTTGCCCTCGTCAACGATGCTAACTTCGAAGTATTGTACTCACGAGAGCTTGTTAGCTATATTTCGCTTTCACCCGCAAATTTCGTTAATTTTTCACCCCATGGGGGTCCGAACTCACGACCTCTGCGACTAGCGGATTACGAAGATACCACTAGACCACTGGGGCGACCGGTTGTGGCCCCGGCTGATGTTCTACGTCAAAGATATACCGAATAGTGTATAGTACACTGACGCCCGAATAGATGCGGACGAAGCAAAACACACACACACACACACAACAGCAGCAGCAGCCCACAGCACCACCCCTGTTTGAAGTAGCAAATCATTGACTTATTGATCAACCGAAACAAACAAATAGCCACGTGTCTACGGAGTACACCAGACCTACCATTGTAGAAGGAAAAAAAAATGTCCAATCGAAACTAGCTAGGCAGCCGCAGGTTTAACAACGTGCAACGGAATGTATAATAAAAACGCTGAACAACTACTGCAACATCGCCGTATCACAACACGAGGCGATAAATGTTTTAAGCGCGACTTTACTCACTATTGGTTGATCACGTACCAAGGAGCTAGTGGCAGGCAATTCAGCCTAACAAAGAGAACGCGCTGTGCGCGGAATACCTATCGCAGCAAAGCCATATTAACCTGTTCGTCAAAGCAACCCCTTGCCGCGTCGCATAATCGCGGCATATACGTAGATACACCGCAGTTCTTGCATGTTCGACCCCGCCCCTACATGCAGAGTAGCTCACATGCTCTCGTGCACCGCTGGCACACTTTCGACACCTAGTCCCCAATACAGCAACGGCTCAAGATCGGCAGTGGGAGAAGGTCACTCCTCCGCATGCCGTCGCCCCAGCGGCAAACATCAGGATAGCTGCTACGCCAGCAGCAGCGACACCGGTCTTGACCTTCCGCCAGTACATGGTTCGTCTTAAGCTCCTCGATGCTCGGTCGAAACGGAACGCTTGCTGGTTCAGTTGATCGGTTTTGTCGACCAGCAACTGGTCAGAAGGAACAGAGGTAAGAGAGTGAGTGTTCAGCGCGGGGCGGTAGGGGTGGGGGTCAGCAATTGTATGCTTCCTGGATGACACTCGCCAGATGATGGTCGAACGCACCTTTCGGGCAGACAGATGATCACGCCAACTCCCCGCTTGTCTCGACGTATCTCACTCCAATAAGGAACGTGGAAGCAGAGGGAGGAATCACGCAACTTCACAAAGTGCAGGTGCGACGGGAAAACACACAAGTATCCCACGGCTGAAGGGTATCGCCTTCAACGCTCGCTCCCGTGCGTAGAGCCAATACAGATGGTGCCGGTTTTTCAGCGACTAATAGGCAGGCCTATCGCATCGCATCGACCGGAGGGCGCGGGGCGATTGTTTTCTTGGGACGAACAACACCGTTTACTGAGGGCATGCGATGGAGGAACAATCTACGACAGGCGTGTGATGTACAGAACGTCAAGAAATGGCGCAGAAAAAAAACATCATCTCTGCCCCAACACGACGTGTCTATCCACTTGGTTCATGGGTCACGCACCTCAATCTTTTCTCCTCGTTCCAGCACCTTGTCGACATTCTCCAGCATGCCGGCGCGCACGTCTTCGATTTGTGACCTTACCCCCTGAGGGCGAAAATGGGGCCATGGTGAAGAGGCACCAAAGGGAACAGGGTCAGACGAGAGACCAAGAATGAGACAGCAATGAGAGGGGCTACAAGGCACTAGCGATCGATAACGTTGCCTTTCCTGGAAACCAACGTGATAAAGGTATGTAATGGAAGAAAAAACGTGACAGCTTTTTGCCCTCGCACCCTGGCACACGTGCAGGACTGGGGATTGACACCTATCGCGAAAAACAAAGTGTTGGGAGATGCAAGACACAGGAAGGGTACAGGAAGTTATTCCGGGGCGATCAAGGAGGTCAAACCGCATGGAAGCTATGATCGTCACAATCAAACCGGGTCGAGGGTGGTTGTGAGGGCGCTTTACGATGTTGAAGCGGCGAAATTTCAAAGAAAAGCCTACACGTTGTGACTTGGGGGTCCGAGGCACTTGTCAAGGAGTACGGATTCTATGACGAAAATGAAAACAGGTAAACGAAACATGGACAGAAGGTGGGGCCCCTCGGGTCTTCTTCGATTCACGTACAGCACTAGCCTGGAATTACAACACAGGGACACATCCCACACGGCAGTGTTGCCTGAATTCGACTGTAGCAGGCCCCCTCAAACCAGCACGTTTTACTGTACAAAGGGGCCGACAGTTGGCGCACTGCACCTGTAGGGAATCCCCTGGAGGGTTCGAGTTGAACGCATCCATTTGCCTTTGAAGGATGGGGGCGAACTCGGCATTCATGCTGAAGGCCGGTGCGGTGTGGATGCTGGCTCCGTATTGCGCGCCGAACTTAGTTTTGATGTCCTGTAAAGAATCAGATCAAGATGAGGTGCAATTGAGGGTAGGGAATTGATACCCGCTACGCAACAGCGCTAGTGCACGCCAGCTCAACACAAATCTATGCTACTGATCTGTTGCGAGTCACGGAGGCATGGTGTGGAAATAACGCTCAATGATGCGGGTTTGAAACATCCAAGGATGCCCCGGTCGACGTGTGCAAGTATCCTTTCTAGGAGAGAAGAGAGAAGACACACGGGCCCGACCACAAAACAACGCGCTGGTGTGGTGCTACGAATGACAAACAGCACCCTCCAACAACAGAGGTAGAAATGGAATGGTTGCTACCTCGAGAAAGGCGAAGGGCACCCGTCGCCGTGATTGCTCGTCAGCCATACACAGGTAAGTGACCCCATTCTCCACGATGTAGTGGAACACGTGAGCATCCCAAACCTGTCGCAATCCATCAGGGCATCGTTCAGGAAGCCAGGCCACGGGAAAACGAAACTGGAAGGAACGTGTCAGGGTCAGACAGGCGTGTAGGATTCGCGCTGAACAAGCATCATAGCTACCATATCGCCACCCTATTCAACTGAAACAACCAAACGTGTAACTTGCCATCGGCAAGCATGTACGCCCGTAGTTCATCGTTTCGATGATCGTGTTGTCGTGTTCGCCTCTGGGTCGAAGGTTGCTAAGAAACATATCGCCCCCGAGATTTGTGTGTTCACAACGCCAGCTCGTATTTCCCATCGAAATAGCTTTGACGAAGGTCAGCAATTCTAAAGGTACCTTGGAGTACGCGGTACCTTAACTGGTCGGTCAACGGCATCCCTCTTGCTTGTATTAAGCGGTCTCTCTCCAACATCACCAACATTGAAGAAGCAGGCACACGAGGCTATTCCCGAGATCCCGTGTTGCCACCGGTGTGCACAGTGATCTCAGCATGAACTACAAAAGCCAAAGCCTCCTTGGGACGGCGCTCTGCCGCCACCACAACAAACAAGGGCTCGCCGGAATCCGCGTGCAAGAGGCTGTCAGCAAATGGTGCAACAATCCAACATCAAGACAAACGCTCTGCCTGGCTCCAACAGCCACCGGAAGTTTAATGTGCACCCTCCGATGAGATATAGCTGGGTTACAGCTTCCCTGGTCTACGGTTCGACTTTGCGCTATCCCTTCACACTCGGAACATGTGCTCCAGGACATACACACGAGGACTGGCACAAGAAGTGCGAGCCATCTACCGTACTGCTGTCGCCCAACACGGAACCCGGCACCCTACACGGGACTCACGTAGGACATTCTTGTTGCCTCGGCAGGGATCTTGTTGAGAAGGACCCTTGTAACCGTCGGGAAGTTCCCCGCCGTAGCGGTGAATTCCGCCAACACCGCCTTCCCTCGCGCTATCAGCGCGTACACGATCGTCATGGCTGCTGGGGCCCTCGCTGCTGCTGCTGCTGCTGCTGCAGGTTTGTTGTAGAGGCGTTGGAAGCCAGGTACAATCGACACACGAAGGTTGTCCGTTAACGAGGAAGGCCTCGAGCGACGGCAATATAACAAATGACCGCGGCCAGGGATGGAAAGGGAAGATGTAGCAAGACCCCGCGTACACGTGGATGCTGTTTGTATTGTACTTTGTGCCGCCGGGAACCGCCGTGTTCATCTTCTGTCGAGTGTCGAGAAACTGCGGACCAACCGCCCGGAATTTCCAGGCTGGGGAGGGGACAACCGGTAGACTAACAAAACGCGAGGGGGGGTGTCAAGTTTCCATGATTTCTAATCACGAGATCATAGTTATGAATACATCACGTGATGCTACGCAAAATAGGTGGGTCGTGTCGTGGGTGCTCATGTATAAATAGTCTGTCGTTTGCACCCGTCCTTCAAGGCCGCGGCACGTACAAGTATGATTTTCTTCGCAACATTTTTCCATTTCAGCAGAATCAGGCGAAAGGACGGAACCCCCAGAGTTGCGACTCCAGTCAAGCCGGCGAGTACTCTGGCATAGCGCTTGCCCACTCCACCCTCCAGCATTCAACTCTCAAGGCGTGTATGTGGTAGAGTTGAGAGAGCGGAGGGCGTGCTGGTTGACTTGCGGCAGAGGGGGCGACCTGTCTACACAGCAGTACAGCAGTCTACAGCAGAGGTGGCGGCGAGATCGCAACTCTGACAATAATCTTATTGTCTCCCTTCTTCCCCAAGCCTTCCAATCTCACCTTAACCAAAAGAGATTGTGCGAAGGACTGTGTGGTTGCTACGACTGGCCAACGGAGAGGGGGCCGAGGGTAAAAGGCAACCTTCCAAGCCGAGCGGGACTGGCGAAGTCCTACTTGTTGTCTTGATATGTAAACTGCTGTATGTCGTGATGGAGTTGTGTACGCAGATGGTACAGTAGCAAAGGGTGCGTGGGGATTGTGAACATTCGAAACAGGAGTACAGCTGCAGGGCCCCCTGGATATAGATTGCAGCATTGCAGCATCGTGGTTGGTGCATCGTGGCATCTAGACACAGAGCGACGGAGCGGTCAGGCAGTTAGATAGACAGACACACACGCGTGTTGGCCACGTCGTAAGTTATTTGTTTTGACATCTCCTGCGAACGGCCTGTACACCACCCAACAACCAGAGCTCCCATTTTTAAAATGGCGAGACTGTCGGATTCGCACAACGTCGAGCGAGGTGTGGGGCAACGGCCTCCTCCTCAACATCACCGAGGATGGCAAGCACGAGAGCGGACAGCTAGCGGCGGTGCGCGCTCTCCCTCCCGCGAATCACCTGCCAGCAACAGAGATGGGTCTGCTGCCAACCCAAGGAAGGCCAGCAGCTCGAAGAGTCTGCGACCCCACGACATACCTTACGCCACGGGAAACAGCTACGCCGCTGCGGTGAATACAACGGCGGGCACCACAGCTTCTGCTGAGCCTGGAAAGGTACCCGGTGGCATAGACGACAAGGGCATCGTTTTGAGGTGCGTGGTTTGGGAGTGAGAGGCAACTTGGACAGAAGCGGTCGATTTTTACATCAACCCTCGGACATTTCTTCACAAGTCTTCGAGATTTTGCGAATGGGGCATGCTACAAAACCTGCTTCTGTTGTAACGAACGAATCTTACACGCCGACACGAGCACATGCAACAAGTCCGTGTCAGTTGACCAGTGCGAATTTTAGAGGGTTCTGACCAGAGATCGAAAAGTTTAGTGTAAAGGCAACAAACAAGAACACAAAAACATCAGCCCGCTTGATCTACTGTATTGCAGATTAATTTCTATACGTGGGGTTGGGCTGCGACCTCGGACTTCTGTTGACACTTTTCGCCGCCAAGTGTGTAGGACACAGGACGTCCTGGATATGTATGTGTGGAGACAACAGCCAACCGAGTACGCTTCTTTTTGTCCGACGTGGCACTACTGCCTGCTGTATTGCCCAGATGCATGTACACCAACCAGAAGACGAAAAAACGCAAGACCTGGTCGGACGGCGCCGTCAAGTGCTGCCCGAAACGCCAACGGGTGTCCCTTTACCGTTGGAGCGAAGCACTGGGCGTCACAGAGAAGCTCCTCGGCGAGGTCTACCTTACCGTGCCACAGTACGAGGCGTTTATCACACAAGGGGAGCCGGAACTCGAGATGGAACTGTGAGTGTGACAGATAGAGAGAAATGTGCGCTGTTGTTGTTGTTCTTGTGTCGTTGGTGGCAGTACTCATTATTGGAGTGTAACGCCAACAAATCGCTGTTTGGGCGATTGGACGGAGGTATTCGGCTCAGATACTGCTTTCGTCAAGGTTGTTTTCTTCTTAATGTTTTCAATCATACTTGTTGCAGCTCTGAGCACCAGGGGCTCAACCTCGTGCATGGAGAAAGTCGCGTGATTCGCAAAGGGTGTGTCAGACTATGGGTAGCTGCAGACCGTTGAGTCATTCCTCGCGATGAGTATGTTCCGAATCGTTGAAGTCACACTTTTCTTCGACACAAAGGGCCTGCGTCTCAGCCGTGTGTCGTCCCGAACCTACACCACTGCCTGCTTGTGAGAGGAAAAATGTCATAGGCTTCTAGTACATGGAACATACGTATGCACGTATCATGGTGGTCAGGTAACAGGCCGGCGGATCCGACAAAGTTACTTGAGCACCGAATTATTGCTTTCCTTTGCCGAGTGCCACGTGAAGCTCTTACACAATTAATATGCGAAGTCTGAACATGATCGTGTTTTCACATCAAGGGCCCGCCGCCTGATCGCTTCAAAAATCCCGAAACACAAAGCAGGTACATTGTTTCCTTGGACGGTGTCATACAATCCGATGACAACGCGTCCGGCGGCGGTGCCGGCTCGGCGACCACCCCCGCAGAGAGCACGGCGGCGATCGGGGCTTCTGGGGGCGGCGGAACCACCGCCACCACCGCCGGCAAAAAGAGAAAAATTTTCAAGGCGTTCAAGCCGCCCGCGAGGAGAGAGCCGACCCCCGCTCCCCAGCCTGACGATTCTTGGGGCCGGCTGCCGCCGGGGGGGGTGAGTCTCCGCGGGAACGGTGACAGAGGCGGAGATGGCCGCTTTCCTTCCAACAGAGGAGGCGGAAAATTATCCCCTCGCACAACTTACACCGGATTCGGCCACGTTGAGTCCTTGTGGGATGAGGACGAAGAAGAAGACGACGGACAGGACCGCCATGAGGATGGAGCTGGGCTGGCCGACGAACACCGTGCTGGATGGGGCATGGGAGGGGCTGCCGGGCCGGGCTACCAGAACCCATACGATGTCGGTAACGAGTCGGACGTGCTCCAACAGGCCCGGTCCGAAGCAGCGGTGCAACCGCCGTACCACCGGTCGACCGGCACCTCAGCAGTAGGCAGCACGAATACCTGGATGTGGGGGCCGCCGGCTGGGGAGCACTCGCTCGATGGGCCACTGCGGCCGTCTCGATCGACCGCTGATTTTGCCAGCGGTTCTCCTGCGCAGCAGCAGCAGCAGGAGCGAGGTCGTCATGACGAGACAGCAGTGCCTGGCCACCACGGAGAGGACGGCCCTTCCTCTTACCTCGAACGCCTTCGGAGAGGAAACGACGACGATGACGACGTGGGAAGACGGAGCGCGAGCCATTACCCCGAGAATCAACGATGCGGTCGCGACGGCGCCGTGACAGCGGCTGGAGGCACCGGTGGCAGGGAAGAAAACACGTTCGGGCGTGGCAACGCTATCGGTGGTGCTGGCTCCCGCGTATCCGAGGAGGTCGATCGCGAAACACCCGGCGATGGTGCTAGGATGGAGATGCGCTCCACCCAGGACATCCTCTCCCTGTTCGGCGGCTTCGGAGGGACGCCATCTACCCAAGGTGGGCACGATCACGGCGAACAGGAACGAGAGACGGCCGAGAGTCAATGGCGCGGGCCAACTGAAGCCCCTCTCGGATCGCAAGCATCCGGGGATGCTCTCATGCCAGTCGGGGGCGGCATTCGCCGGGCGGTGGACATGCGCCGGACGCAGAAAGAAGCCCGGGCAGCGGCGGCGGCGGTGGCGTCTGGAGGAGGTGTAGCTGGCGCGGTAACCGGAGCGGCATCGGCGAGGGGCGCGAGCAATGACGACGCGGTTACGGGGGACTGGGCTTGCGGAACGTGCGGGGTGCGCGGGGGCTCTTCGTCTGCGTCGTGCCGTGTCTGCGGCGCCAAGCGACAAGAGCTCCGGAGTGATGGCGTTGCGCAGGGCGGTGACGATGGTGTTAGGGGGGGCATCGGCAGCCAGGAAGGACGGGTGGGGTGGGGTCGGGGGGATGACTTCGGCGGAGGTGAACGGCCACAAAAGAAGGCTTTGGAAGGCAGAGCAGGGGACGTGGGCGATCGGCCTGTTATTCTTGGCATCGCGGAAGGCTTAGAAGCAGGTGCCCCTGGTCGGTGGCGCACTAGTTCTCCGGACCGCCCTGCTTTCCCGCAGTCAGGAGCCGGGGGTGGCGGGGAGGGTGCTTTTGGGGGTAGTGTGCTTGAGACGCCGAGTAGCTGCCGGAAGATCGGTCATCGAATGCAGATGGACATGGGTTCTTCGTCGGATAGCGATGAGGCTTGAAGTACACTTGTGTTTGCCGTAGTTCACGCTCGTTTGATTTTTATTGATGGCGTGCTGCTAGCACGTGGACTTGTTGGTACAGTTCTGTGCTCGTCTTTTTTTGTATCACGCAAGTTGCGAAAGCACACCACATGGGCGCGGTCTGCTACCGACGTATTCTGACTCGATATTGGGTTGGATTGTGAACAGATGCTGGTTCATGCACCGAACTGATAGGGAGATTTTGAACCTTGCGACGCGGAATTGCGTGTGCCCATATTCTGACATGCTCGAACGCAATGCCTGCACTGGACACAGTAGTAATCGTGCTTGCCTCCCTTGAAAAGAATCGAAGCAGCTAACGTCAACAACGCGAGCAACCAAGGCATGCCTACTCGTGTAGAGTATCAGTGCACACGAGCGGGATGTAATCAGTCTCCGCGATCCTATCCTCCGTACAAGCAAGATGCAGAACGGCCACTGAAACCGGGCAGCACGTCTAGCAACGGCGCCAGAGTGTCTTCAACAAAGAACGAACCAACCAATGACGCGCAAAAAATCTCACGAAGCACAACGCGACGTGCAACAGGTAGTTGCACCGTCGTCGTGTGGCCGAAAATCAGAAGGACGAACGCGCCTCCTGGAGCTTTTTCCTCATGTCGTCGTGCATCGCCTCCAAGGCTTCCAGCTCCGTCATCTCAGCCGACCTCCACCCCTCAGTCTCCGGCACCCCACTCCCCCCCCTCCGATTGGCCCTTCTCCGTTCACCGGGGTCCCCCAGGTCGGCGGCGGGCGGCTGCTGCGCCTTGACCACCTTCCGTGGGAGGGGTATCTTGCGCGCGAACGCCAGCGCTCTGGTTCTCGAGTCCTGGTCCTTTTTCTTGGGGCGGGGGCGGCGGTCGCCGTCGCCCCGGGCGGCCGCCGTGTCGGAGTTGATCTTCCTGAGGTTCGTCGAGAACTCCTTTATTCGCTCGGCGTTTGCGCGCTGCGAAGGACGGTGGGTGTGTACACGGAAGGTGCGGATGAGCGAGTGGGGGGGACGAGTGGATGAAATTCTTTGGCAGGATAGCACGGCGAACAGCTTCACTCCGATCCTCCTGGACCAGCTACGAGTATGTAGCGTCCCCTGTTGATGGCCCGTTCGCTATCTTCCGGGGACGCGATAGATAATGGTCGATGTCGACTGGGAGTGTTTTACCCCGCTGCCGATACTGTAACCTTTTATCTCATACCTCACCTTCGCAACAAGCTCGTCCGTGTAAAGGTCTGGTTGGAGCTTGCCGAGCTCCACATACCCTGTGGGCTTGGTCTCTCGATACTCTTTGAGGGTGCACGGCTTGTAGTCCACCTGCCTCGCCTTCTTGCTGAAGAGAAGCATGTCTTTCGGCGTTTTCACCAGAGCCTCGTTGAGCGACGCCGGCTTGGTTTCGGAAATTTGGCGGAGACATGAATCATGCGGCGAAAAAGTGAGCGACATACACATGTAGTGTGTCCAGTGTTTCACAAGTACCACTGAAACTGAGACGGCTCTGCTTTCTCAAACAATGTGCCAAGCTGCATGTCTCCTTGCTCTTTATGAAGGACTTTTAGACCCTCACATACCTAACATCAAGGAGGGGCATATAAATGAGCGGCGGTGGTACGGTATCGATTAAAGGTACCTATTGCACCTCGATCGAATTGATGCTTGCACTGCCAGGTCAGTTCATTCAGGAATGCCGCAAACCACGAGCACACTCGCGGGCACCCAAGGTTTCCATCGCCCTACAGACCTGACCACGTGTCCAAAACGGCACTATCCCGTGCTCCCAACCCAGCTATTCTAGCTGCTAGTTCCGGTCTGGTTGAATCGTCTTTTTCCGGGCTCACCGTCGTCTTGTCTTCGCTATCTGCCGCGAAAGGCCGAGTGCCGGTCGAGACCGGTGATAGCGACCTATCCGCTTGTGATCGCCAGCGCTTTGCTGGGCTATCTTGTGCGCATTTTTGTACTTTCGGAGATGCGGCGGCTCTTTGAGATGGCAATGCCTTCGGAGAAACGAGGTGCCGCCTAACGCTCGACCGCGGCACCGAAGGCTGGAAATGACAAATGACAGTTGAAATCGAGCGCGAGCGTGAGCGACAAGGTCCTCTTGCACGTCGTGAGATTCACATCAGTTACAACTCAGGAACACACCCGGAACACCTCGGTCACAACACTTCGACAGTTCTCACCTCATGGGCAGGCCCCTGTATGCCTTGTGAAAACTGTACGCGTTTTGCCCTGCTTCGACCAGGATCCGCCACGGTGCTTCCCTCGACGGCATCAACCTGGGTGAAATTTTGCCTCCCGATGGATCCCCTGTCACTGCTGCCGCTGCTACTACTGTTGCGGGGATCCCTCCCCATAAACCCGACCCCGGTTCCATCGCGTACATGACGGGCGCTTTCGTGATGATCGTCTCCATGTCGGTGGTGTTGGCGGTACCGAACCCGTGGTGAGCACCGATAACTTTCTCTCCCGCCACTCTCCTCTCCACTTCTCCCGTCTGGTCCCCGCTGGCCGAAATCATGAATTCCCGTGCTACCATCGGCGTAACCGTTGGGTTGGAGGTCGCCTTTCTCACAATTACCATCACGATTCGTGAACTTCCCTTCCACTCTCCCGTCTACATCGTAATGCCTCGGTAGGCTACGAGTTTCGAGACCTTCGGGGTCATGATGGTGGTAATCACGAATCACGTATTCGGCTTCCTCCGGGGGGTAACAGCCGTCCTGCTGTTGTGCAACGCACCATCGGCCAGTGCTGGAGATACATTTGCGTTAGATAGGCACAAAATAAAACGAGGTGAGATGATTTTGGCGAAATAGTAGGGTGTTGTTCGAAGGGAGTACGTCCACAACTTCGCAGACGGAAGGCGCCTGAACAAGGGTGAAATATATCGTTCGGAAGGAAACAGTGGCTGGGGTTAGACCAGAGGATGGCACTACGTAGTTCGAATTGGGATCGGATCATGCCAACTGCCGCCTTCGTATTCGAGCTGCCCTGATATAACAAGATGTTACACATGGCCGAACACGGACCTGACATCATCACAGTAGACGGAGAAGATCTCCGGTACCAAACGTCACTCTGATATCACAAGATGTTATCACATGGCCGAACACGGACCTGACATCATCACGTACATGGAGAAGATCTCTGTTACCAAACGTCACTCGAAGAAAAGGGCGGATACGTAACCCTTGTACCGGTAACCTAGGAAGAGAGCTATTCCAGGCATCCTGGCTCTCACCCGCTCGAGCGGCTGTCTAGCTCCACTCCTCGGTTTCCATGTTCATCACAGTGGCCAACTCGTTCTGGTTCTCCAGTCGTTCGTCTTGCGCCGCCAAAGAACATCTCTTCCCCACCGACACGCTCGGGGTATCCGTCCGAACCGTAGCCTGCGTCTTCCCCTGGCGGAGGCCCACTCCCGTCGTATTCCTGCCGCTGAACGCTTCGCCGCAGCCGGCCGTTGTCTTCACGGACCATCGTTGATGATGTGTAATCGTGACGTGGTGGGCCAGGGATGGCAGCGCTGATTCGCCTCCATGGGGGTGGGGCCTTTTCATCACGACCACCTTCACCAGCAGCGTACACATGACCCTCGGGCCTGGAACCATCCTCCAGGCTGGTGGCTGTGCGAAGAGCGAATTTTACGAGGGGAAAGGGAGGCTGTGTTTTGTGTACTGAATAACCACATCTGAACGGTAATACAGGTGCGCCGCGCTGTACTGTATAGTCGAGGTTCTCCAAAATGAAATAATCAGTTCTGACGTACTAGCCTGCGCCGCCTTCTACAGGCGAATCACACATATTTTGGTTCGTCGGTTGCACACACTTGCGCGCCACCGTACGATAGTATCAAATCTTCGTGTCGACGCCACAGCGTGAACAAGCCTGTAAGTATCATGCGACTTGTGAGCACAACACCATTATTCTCGCCTGCCATGGACTTCTCCAGCTCTGCCAACGCTGGCTGATAGCTCGCTGACCCTTCGGGCACGGGTACGAAGTACGGCGTGGTCGAGCTGACCTGATGGTGGGGAGTCGGCGAGGAAAAGGTTAAACGAATTAATTTGCTCCTGTCGGTAGTTGAGTCCCAACCCAAACAGTCCACGGCACACTGTAGGCTGGCGCCCTTAGAATGCCGTGCTTGTTCGCGGTCGTCGACCAAGTCAATCCTACTACTCCACGCCTTGGAGGTGTGATAGAAGCTTTGGACCACATATAACACAGTTCTGATGCTGAACGTGGTCTGAAGGCAAAACAGCATGATCGATGATACACACCATGCACGACAGTAGCGCACAGTCCTACTGTACGGCACAACAGCAGTAGTTGGTTCTCGGCGCGCCCCTTGATCGTGCCCGAGAAAGCTCTCTCTGCCTTATCGCCAACCGGTCAAACACCTCATAGGCTTCTTGTGTAGCAACACCAGAGTTGAAGGCGTGAGTACGAGGAGGTCACATAGACGGCCCCAATTGAGCCAAGACCACGGCGCCCATTGCTACCTTCGTCGTTAGATCTGAACGCCCCATGTACCAGAAGTAGCGTCGATTTCTCACGGGCAAACTAAACACCTTCTTCGGAGTTCTGTGCCCGTTCGAAAAGTGTTTCACAAAACAAACCTGCGGCTGCGCCCTGTGCCGAGTCCTCCGCAGACTTGATCCCTGTTTGACGTGCCGTCGGATATGCCGATCCGCGTATCCAACATGTCTCCTACTGGATGCCCCGACTGCCGCTGCGCCTCTCTCACGTTTAGTCTCCGCGCGTGTCCAACTGCTGATGTTATTGTTGTACAACATGTGAGCCGGTGGTGACAAGGGAAGCCGTTCATGTGGCTACTGTAGGGTAGTCATGCACATGAGTGTCCACATATAGATCGTAAATTGCATTCGCCATTGGGCTCATTTCATATGGCCACATCACATTGCTAGATGCAAGGCAAGTTCACTGGCTCTCACGTTGTTTGAGACGACCCCTCCGCTCGAGGAGTATCCTCGAAGACATCAAGAGATTTATGTACAATGATCCTGTCCTGCGTCCTACACACCATGACGGATGAAAGCAGCGTAATGACACAGCATTATGTCTGCCGGAGTTTGTGGATACTTGGATTTATGGTCCATAAATCCTGGCTTCCGCTGTGCGTTGTGCGAAGGTGCGAAGAGAACCTGCGCGCGGTGTAATAAATGCCGGTTCGACTGGAACCAGAAACCGCCAACCGCCAACAAAATTCTTGGGCAGTGGCACAACCAGGAACGGACCTCGCGACACGGCCATTGCGGTAACATGAGCCCCGGGCGGCCACCCTCTAGCAGCCGTGCTTCAAGTCATGGTGGGCCCCACAAGGCGGCAGTCGGGGTGGCCCAATTTGTGCCGCGGCCTGGTTCTGCCTCGACGTTGTCTCGAGCTGGGTCCAGGACGGACTCTTCGGCAGGGTCATCGGGTACAAAATGGGAGGTGGGCCTCGTCAAGAAGAGTACCGCCTTTGTGCGCAGGTAGCTTGTGTATGAAGTGCCGCTAGCTTGGGCTATGTTTCGGAGCATAGACAGTGCCATCCAATGTACAATGCTGCAAAAGCACAGCACGCACTGCAGTTTGTGCTACGGGGCTTGTCGGGCGGCAGAAACCAGACAAACCAACCGTGGTACTGCTGTGCCGCACATACAGATAGTACAAGCACAAGCAGTACATGTACATGTAGTGGTCGCTGTATAAGGTCGCATACACAAGGTCGCTCGCCCTGTGCACTTATAGAAGTATACAAATAAGACGTGGTATTGTGTGACAGAGATGAATATTCAAGTTGTCTCACACTCTGAATAGTGCGGGGCGTGCCACTGTAATCCTTTGGCACTGCGAGACGTTGTCAATACTTCACAATTTCATCTTCTACATGCACTCTTGAGCGCATACACTCGTACTACGCACAATTGGCAAGAGGTTTATATTCCGATAAGAATCGAAATGGAGATGCCGCTACAAGTGCCTGTGGTATGGAATCACAGGAATATCCGCCGCAGCCCGCTAACGGGTGCTGATGCTTGTCGATGGCCTTCTGTAATGTAGTATGTTCAACAGCATCGACAGGTCGTGTATTTTCATAGCAGGTAGACTCCTATTTCATATATAGACTGAACACACCGTAGAAGTGAGGGAGATTGCACTCGTCCAAATGTCGACCAACTTGCACATTTCGATTGGTCCACAACCATCCGGTTGTCAGTGCCGAAAAACGGGTTGCGTCACAATGTATCGGATCGGTTTTCGTACCCTCGTGGTTGGGACACGAGCAACCGAGCTTCGAAAGTTAGGCAACAAAAGTGGGGCGGGTGCGATCACTTGCACTTGTACGGTACAGAGGTATCTGCAACAGCTTCTCCTCATTTCTGTTTTTAATTTCAAACAGATGTTGTAAATGTTCTACACACGTAGTTGGCGGTGACGAACGGTACAGGTAATACCTGTTGCGGGTTGTGCTCAACTACATTGCTGCCAAGCCGATCCTGAGTACCCCAACAAACGCCGTTCTTTGTCAGGGGCCCATCTTCAATAGATAGGTACTTGGCACATGCTCTGAGCTCCATCCACCCAACGAACAGCATTCAATCCGAGTTAGAAAGACGCTTTTTTGCTCTCGGAAATTTATCTAGAGTCCATTTGAATTTGGCATCACGAAGTTGTCTCTTGCTCTCTCCTCCTGCGCGCAACGGCCAATTGCAGATGTCAATGGACGAGTTCAAACGGCAGGTGCAAAACCAGTTCGCTGTAGTGCTTAGCTGGGATGAAGTGCGTGCGCTGCAGAAACTCTACGGGGACCCAGGCAAGGTCATTATCCTTGATATGGGCCTGCAGTCAACGTATCAGCCGTGGATGGTTTTCCTGGCGTTGATGGAAAGCGTTTCGAGGGCATACCTTTGTAACTTCGTGAATTATTCCCGATCAGAACCCCCGTCGGCGAGCAATCGATAAAGCATATGGACTATTGTACTTCTTTCTACGGTGACAACCTGTAGGATTTGCACATATATAGCTCGGTGGCGACCAGCTTCCTTCCTAGAGCGATATACCGTAAACGTGCATCATAGACCTATCCCCAAAAGGGACCGAGACGAACCGATGTCAATCTTGCACACCCGGTGAAAACTCAAAAGGTGCACATGTACGTCCAAGAAAGGAGGAGAAAATCCCTGAGTTATTTTGGTTCGACATCAACCCGAACACGATACCACGTAATTTGACAAGCATTATTCTCGCCGCACGAGGAGCCAACAATGAAACTCTGCGTTCGCAGATACGTCATTCTTCACTCAGTGGTCACTTTGTTGCCGGACTGCAGTCAGTCCCCCACCTCAGCAAGACTCCCAAACCCACACACTTGCGGTGACAACTTATGCTACGCGCCAATAAAGTTTCCAACAAACCCAACTCCCTGGGGGTACAACTCAAGAGAGCGTGGGCACATGACGGAAGAAGAGAACGGAGTATGCCAGGGGTTGCTGAAAGTACTGGGAACACAATCGGCCCAAAGTTGTCTTCGGTGGTAACTCCACTACAGCAGTATCTCGGCAGTCCGCCGTGATACGAAGTCAATGTTCGAAGTAATCCACATGCACGGATTGGTTGAACCGTTCTTGGCCATCTTCCCGAGGGCAGATTCTGAAAGCATCGACTTCATGAAGTTCGCCGTCGCACTGGGGAAGTCGCCGGGACACGGGCCGGACAAATCCAGGCGCGCCTACAACTTTCTCCCCAAGCACACTACGGAGTACGACCTGAAAGCCATCGAGAAGAAGATCATGCAGAAGCTCGAGGACCGCTGCGAGGTACGTAACGGTGATGCGTGTCTGTCTCTGTTTGTCTGTCTGTCTCTCTTTTGTCTCTCCCTCTGTACGTCTGGCTTGCCTGTCTGTTTGCCTGCCTGCTTGTCTGTTTCTCTCTCGCTCTCCTTGTCCGTCCGGCTTCGTACTCTCCTCCATCGTTTACAGAGCAACGGATACATCATACCCCAGTTCCCTAAGAATGCCGGTCGAACGGCCGAGAGGGCCCGTGGGATTGCATTGACTCGCCAAGTATTGAATTTGAGACCAAAATCGCTCTCTCAGGGTATCGGTCTATGATTGTGACCCACGTAATCACGGTTTCTGCCCCTCCGTTGGCAACGACTACAGGTTGCGGGGAACTACCAGTATCAATGGGCAAGGCGCATGCTTTGCGACTCGACCTCTACGCTGGCTGGTGGTATGGATAAGGAGCAACTCAAGCTGCGGCTTAGTGGCTTACTGGGGGTTGAGCTTAGCGACGGGGAAATGGACGTGCTTTTTCGCAAATACGCCGACCCGTAAGTATGGCCAACGCTCGACAGGATTACGGAGAGCTCTGTTTTCAAATATTTGAACGCCGAATCGCGGTGTAGTTGTTGAACCGCCGAGGTAATATTATTTGAAGCAACAATGCGACCATGGCAAAGAGGTTTATGGTGCCAA